ATACAAATCAAACACAATTAATTACAATTCTCAGTCAAACATTTTCTAAGAAAATCAATTCCCTGTAAAATATTTTCTTTCCACCCATTTTCCACCCTTACAATCAAACGGACCCTTAGATAATTTTCTTTTAGCGTACTGCGTGAAAAGTTCTTTGAGTGGTTTGAAAATTTTAGGGGCCATTCTCTTTGTGTTTCAATTTTGTATTTTGAGTTTTGAATTCATTTTAGATTTTGTGTTTTGAGTGTCCATTTTGAAATTATTGAAAATATGTTCTTTTTGGTATTTTGAAAAATTATTTTAAAAACACCAAAAACGCGTTTTGAAAATTTTGACTTGATTATAACTGAAAACACCCAAAATGACAAATCTGTCGTTTTGGGTTTTCTTTATAATTTTTTAACTTGTTTTCAAAAACGCATTTTCGAAAATAGTAAAGAAAACGCGTTTTTACTATTTTAGAAAATCAAAAATAGAAAACTGCTTGAAAATATTAAAGAGAACATACTCTTAGGGTTCTTGGTGAAGCATTTGTTTGCTGACGTGTCTTTTACAAACTCTGATTGTGAATAATCTTGCCAGTGCTATTAATTATCCTCCTTTCGATGGATGCTCAACAGGGCGAGTCTTGTGCTCTTTACATATTGTGCATTTGTGGTTGTGGTTAGCTTCACCCATTATACGATATTCCTTTTTATCATGCACTATAAGCATGTTTAGCTAAGCGTAAAATGCATTACTACTTTTCTTTACTTTTATATAATAAATTTAATTTTTTATGACCTTAGTTACGATTTTAACCCTTGCTTGATACCCATTATTATCAAAATATATTTTTCTTTCTTTTATTTTCAATCACGCATTCTTCAGTAAAATAATATTAAAGGCAAATTCAAATCTTTTTTTTATCTTTTAACCATACATTCTCCATCAAATTACTATTTCAAAATACATTTCAATCAAAAAATATGGCTCAAATAGGCATTAAATAATTTACTTCTTTCTAATGTCACCAATAGAGAAATTATTTTATTTCAAAATTTAATTGTTACTTTAGAGATGAACTAAGCTTTTTAAGCTTAGCAAATATCCTCTTTAAGTTTCAAAAATTGATAATGTAAATGAGATAGTTTTACTCCATGGGGATCGAGAATGGTCAACAAACAATCATTAAATTGATTATGGATGTACACAAACTTATTAAGGAAGAACCGTCTCTTCAATATTTGCGGAGACAAATTCCTAA